TTTAACCGCTTTTAACAACCATTCCAGTCACATCAGCTTAATATAAAAAGCAGAAAGCTGAGGTGCGGTGCGTTGGATTTACCCATTTGGGTGAAACCCTTCTAAACATATGTGGTGCTGACAAACGTGGAACCTCAACCGGGGCGATTAGAGCCCACAAGCTGGCATGCGTGAGGTACTTCATTCACTCTGCAAAGCAAATATCGGCGCCTTAAAGGACATTCTTGCGCCAGTGGGGACAAGAAGTAGAAGATACGCGGATGGGCTTAGAGTGTTATGTTATGAGTTAGTGAGTGAGTGAGTTTACTTTTACGTCGCACTCAGCAATATTCCAGTTATATGGCGGTGGTCTGTAAATAATCGCATCTGGACCAGACAATCCAGTGATCAACAGCATGAGCATCGATCTGCGCAATTGGGAACCGATGACATGTGTGAACCAAGTCAGTGAGCCTGACCACCCGATCCCGTTAGTCGCCTCTTACAACAAGCATGGGTTACTGAAGGCTCATTCTAACCCGGACCTTCACGGGTATGAGATCCAATCAATGCGTTAGACGAATCTAATGTTATGAGATCCAATGAATGTGATAATGTTATCAGATGTAATGAATTGTTTGAGGCTTTAATGCTACTATGATGTATAACGATTTCTTGACCTACAAAGTGCTCGCCACATTACCATGCATGTGTTGTTCGGTCGATGAACTTCACACAACAACCCAGTGAGAGATTAGTGCTGTGTTTTTGCAGATCAAAGTGGCTCTGGTCATTGGCTTCAAAACAATCGACAAAACTGACCCACCTTGGATCTCAATCGTAAATTTCCTGACTATATGTTTTTTGCCCTCGAACAAAAGTTATGGTTTAGAAATTACAGATTTCCAATACAATACAGTTGAGTCACAAATCAAAAATATTCGGTCACAAATCTATAATATTAACTCACCCAACTTTTGATATTCCCAGTACTGATTGAAGATTGTTGACAACTGTTGTAAGTTCAATGTAGACGAATGCTAGGTCTCTAGAGTGGTGAAAGGTTGATGTTGGCAGACAGATGAGCGTAAATCCAATGTAGTAGTAGTCCCCCTTACATCTATAGAGAATTCCAGGAGACGTCCACTTTACTGAGGAGAAATTAGTGCAGAAATGGGCAATGCGGGTGTTTTTTTTAAAGTCCAAAGCGACTTATTTGGAACAGACCATGGCTTTATGCAAATTAGTGTGCGATGATATTGTATTACAAAGGACACTTTTTAAATTCCCATTTTGAAATTAAACTTAGCTTCATTATAAATGTAAAAAATAATAATTTTGATACTGAAACTATTAAGGATGTAGCTACCATGGAGTCTCACTATCACTATAAAAAGAAACAGGTAAGAGGGGTGTCGCAGACGGTGGTTGGGGTCGGGCTGGGGGGATAGAGATAAGATAATCCTTTAGGGGAATTAAACTGTGGAAGAAAAACGGCATGTCATAACAATTTACAAAGAATATCCCGTCCTGTCTATCTTCAAGTGGTCATGTCACTTATATATTTCGAGACATTTAATATTATGGCTAATTTAAGCTTTCTATGGGTATGGGTATCATACTATTTTACATATCTCAACATAAACTTTATGAAAGAAAGACACGTAAGATGTTAATCAATAGATGAGGCATAGTCAACACACATGAAAAAGCATAAAATATCTTTGAGATGACCCCTTGTGCCTGTAGGCAGCACGTGCATTTCATGCCAGGTGAGTCGACGGTCCGTCGTCATACCTGGCTGAGCGACCTAATTGCCATCTATAGTCTGATCTATTGTTTTCAGCAGCTATTCGTATTTTTTCTAAGTTTTGCCCGATTTTACGAGTAAACGTGCTTTTCTGGATATCCTATTACGCATCCCACTGAATGTCCAGTTAGACTGATGTGGGTTATTTCGACATATGCTATTTGCAATTGTGTAAATTTTAGGGATACAGAGTAACAGCCTAAAAACAATTTTTTTCTATTTCCGACAGTACTTTAATACCCCTCCCTCGACACACACACGCACACGTCCACTAAAACGCACGTGTAAGCCCCAGAAAAGGGGATCATTTGGGATGAAACATATATTTTACGACTCCTCAAAAACTACATTCGTCCCCAAACATGTTTCGGAATGGTCACGAATAAAGGTATGTCAGTACAAGGGAGATAACTCACCCCCGTGGTAAAAATCAAGGTCTCGACAGTGACCAAACTTGCCCGGTTCGAGTCCGGTCAATGTTTGTTTTTTCATTTAAATGAAAATGAAAAAATGCAACCAAAACAATCTGAACACTATAGTAATTGAGCCATGTTTGCTTTGATTAACGAGAAATCATCTAAATTCATAATTGTGGACTTCAGTTTTCCCACTTGTAACATTCGGATTAACAGATATTTAGATGAGCAAATCTTGGATATTGTCCATTTAAGTGGACGTAGACGGGTTTGGTCGGAGCAGTTTGTTTTCACTCTACTTACTGTCAACCTATAACATTTTTATGCTTGGCCAAACTCCGACCATTAACATTCGGTTCACCGCCATTCAATGATTCACATCTCGACCTTACACAAAATCACAATGAAAAACTAAGATCTATTCGGTATGAAACAGACTGTGCTCAATATCAGCATCAGGTCATACGAACTATTTTTAAATACATGGAGGGACCTGTCAGTGCAGGGCTTCCAGTGAATAATACAATATCCCAACGCTGTCCCTGCTAACGGAACAAGCCGAGTAAACCTGAATGTAACTCCGACTCTCATTGTTTGGCCGTGACAACTGGTGTTGTACACGATTTATAGTTTTGGACAAGCAGACCTGTTGAAGAGGGACGCAGAAACAGAGCTGGTCAGTCTGGGTAAGTCACGACGTCCTGGTAGCATTGTTTATATTGCACGTAAACAAACGTATCATAAATATATATTTTTGCAATTGAGTCGTCGTAGAAATACAAAAGCTCAACACGCTTTTCTGCTGAAATATCAAAGGTAATGCGATCAATTTCAATTCTGAATTTGCTGGCGTCCCCAGTTTCTGACATTACCGTGCCAACAATAACTTGAGCTTTTATAGCTGCATGCATAAAACAACTCATAAACTATCCAGTAGACTAACGCTTAGTCTCTGACTTTACATCAATTGGATGGAAACAAACAATTCTTTTTAAATTGAGAAGGAGACTCAATGAGATAGGAGAACCTGCGCTGGTTAAATCTATCCTTGCTTCTTTTAGAGCTTTAGCATTGCAGAAAGGGCTGGGCAGAAGGGACTGTGACACGGACTATCTAGAGACATGCTTACCCCGAATTATGAGGTTTTAGTAAAGTTATTATCCATGCATTGATATTGTGTTAATTGGTCAGTATGTCTAAAGCAATGCAAAAAATGTAAAATGTTGATGGTGAGCTAGGAACTAGGCCAATGACCAGTGGTCATTAAACGTGTCATGTATTTAAATGACCAGCGGTTTTGTAAACAAGATTAACCGTCACCTTCACCCTGGCCGCTGCATGGGGTCACCGGCATTATCCTTTATACAGAACCATCCAGGCGTTAGTGGTCAGTGAATTGTGTCTGGGGGTCAAAGGGGCAAGTTGCCACAACTGGGGTATATATATATTTGTGTGGCAGCTGGTTTCAACGGGTGTCGGGTGTTTGGACTACAAAGAAATATAGTGACGACTGTAGGTAGGTGCAGGTTTACATTACAATTCGTTTGATACAGAATCGTTTAACTCGAATGATTATACGTCTGTCAACCATCATCAGGCTTTGAATCTTTGGCTACTGGTTCACCACAAGAAGCAACAGCTATTGTTTTATTTAGACATTCCTTGTGCGACATCAGTTTCAGTTAGAAGCGTTCATAATATTGACAGATATGACAGGCTTACATTGTTCAAACTGTGTAACATATAATGAAAGATTATATGTTTGTGTTTCGACTGAGATCTGTTTGCAGTCAGAATGACGGTTAACATGCGATAATATGAGAGAAACTATAGTCTGTTTGGCTCAAAAGCGGTCCGATGAATTGCAATGTAACTCGAAAACTAATAAACATATAATACTTAATGAAACACTGATCATAATCAAAACATCAGACCAACTCTGTGGTTTGTTTGCAGAATTTATGTCCTAAAATTAAAAAAAGTTGTTTAACTATCATTAAAATTTTGACACAGTTCACTATTTGCTACGAGGGAGGAGTGCAGAGAAAGGGACAGCCACGTGTTGGAGAAGCACGTGCACAAGTGCCCACCAAGTTATTGATTCTTTAACCTGTGCTGTGCCGTCTCCATCCTTTCTCGCACACCTGGCTGTCCCTTTCTCTGCACTCCTCCCTCGTAAGAAATAGTGAACTGTGTCAAAATATTAATGATAGTTTGTTAAACAACTTTTTTATATTTAGGATATAAATTCTGCAAAAACCTCACAGAGTTGGTCTGACGTTTTAATTATGATCAGCGTTTCTTTGAGTATTATATGTTTATTAGTTTTCGAGTTAGATTGCAATTCATCGGTCCGCTTTTGAGCCGAACTGACTATAGTTCCTATATCACTATCTTAAGAGGGTGCAAAATCGTTTTCGTGTTTTCTGAATACGATCACTACGATCATTTAATTGACATGCCCAGAATATATCTGATACAGTTTATCGAAAGGTATCCGAACCCTTTTCTATTTCCAAAAGGTAAAGAGCAGTGGGATAGCCTAGTGGGTAAGTCGTTCGCACGTCACGCAAAAGACCTGGGTTCGATTCCCCACATGGGTACATTATGTGAAGCCCATTACTGGTGTCCCCTGCCGCTGACAGTTGTCCCCTGTTGTCTAAATGTTGTGTAAACCTATACTCATTCACTCCACAAACCCAAGGTGATTTGTACAGTGTGACATCGCTTTGTAGCTATGGTGTGTTGAAACACTTGAAACCTGACTTGCGTGTCTCCTTCCCAGGTTGTACAACATGGCCAACACCGGTGTTGTTGTCGCCCTCGTCCTCGCGGCGGCGGCGTTCGGGGGGAACTGGTTGTGGTCAAGACAGACCAGGAAGGAGCAGATTGAGAGACTGGTCAGCAGTGTCCGAGCTCCGGACCTTCTTAAAGAACACTCGAACGTCTTCAACAAGAAAGAGATCATCCAGGTAAAGGGATAGGTTCAGTTGGCTGCAAGTAAGGATGCAGATTGAAGCTATTGTCTGTTTTATTAAATGATGTTTTGATACACTACCAGGCAAAAGAAAGTGTACACCCATGGTGACTAAATATGAAACAGACAAGTCATGGATATGCTCTAGTAGTGTGTTTGATACGTGTTTCATTGACCTCAAGTTTGTAGGGGCGGTGGGGTAGCCTATAAGCTAGTGGCTAAAGCGTTCGCTCGTCACGCCGTAGTTCGATTCCCCATATGGGTACAATGTGTGAAGCCCATTTCTGGTGTCCCCCGCCGTGGTATTGCTGGAATACTTCTGAAAGCGGCGTAAAACCATACTCACTCAATCTTGCAATGTTTCGGCGACGGTTTTACTCCAGTAACGTTTCCTGTAACGTTTGGCCACATCTAATTTTCAAGTGAGTGCTTTTCGTTTGTCATGCATCGTTTAACAAAAAATGAGAACAAAATATTTTCAGTAAAAATAATGAAGACAGCTGGCATTGCCCTGAGGTTTTGGTCTTTTTGTTTTAGAGTATGAAAAACTAAATAAGAACATAGGGTCCAACTAACGAGGTTTGGTGTGGACATGTTTGTTTTAAAATTATAAACAAACACGCCCTATCTGATCCATTTAATGAAATAGTCTTGATCTAGGGAAGTGCGTTAATGTTTGACGTTCTCACTGGACTGCAGGTGACCCCCAACGTCTACTGCGCTGTCGGATACGCCCTGGCCAACACTATCATGATCGAGGGAGATGACGGCGTCATCATTGTCGACGTCACGGAGAGTGTCTCCGCGGGCAATGAGGTGTTTCGGGATCTCCGGGCCATCACCAAGAAGCCTGTGCGCGCCATCATTTACACCCACAACCACATCGACCACACTTTCGGGGCCAAGGTGAGAATACGTTAGCGACTGCGTGAGTGAGTTGATTTCAACTTTACTCATACCTTACTGGCACACCAAACACTTTATTCCCCGTCTTTTCAGAGTACGTTAGTTGGTTGGTCAGGCTAGCTGATGTATCTTTTATTGCTTATCAGGGGCGGTGGGATAGCTTAGTGGTTAAAGCGCTCACTCGTCACGCTGAAGTCCCGGGTTCGATGCCCACATGGGTAAAATGTGTGAAGCCCATTTCTGGTGTCCCCCACCATGATGTTGCTGGAAAATTGTTAAAAGCTGCGTAAAACCATACTCACTATTGCTTATTATCGTATCTCGATGTGGGATGTTTCGCATTCAAAGGTTACAGGTCACCTCGATATTGCATAAAAATATATGAAATATGTATATGATATAGAAATAAGTAAATCTATGAATAAATGAATGAAAGAACGTACGAACGAACAAACGATGAATTGAACGAAAGGACGTTCGAATGAACAAGGGGCGGTGGGGTAGCCTAGTGGTTTAAGCGTTGGCTCGTCACGCCGAAGATCCGGGATCGATTCCCCACATGGGTACAATATATGAAGCCCATTTCTGGTGTCCCCCGCCGTTATATTGCTGGAATATTGCTAAAAGCGGCGTAAAACCTCACTCACTCACTCACTCACTCGAACGAACAAATAAATGAACTGAATACACAAGATAAAATATCTAAATTCATCTTGCAGTCGTTCATCGAGGACCCGGCTCACCCTCCAGACGTCTGGGCTCACCAGCTCATCCTCAGGGAGTTCCAGAGATTGTTCCACAGTAATGAAATCATACTGACTCGCGGTATGCGCCAGTTTGGTACCCTCACACCAGCGCAGATCAACTCAGGGATTGGGTTCACACTGGCCCTTGACAAAGACAATATCGACTTCGGCCTTGTCATGCCAAACAAGCTGTTCATAGGATCAGAGAGGGACATCAGCTATGCAGGTTTGTACAAGGTTCTAGTTGAACCTTGTGACGGTGGAATAATCGTTTACATGAAGGGGCGGTGGAGTAGCCTAGTGACTGACTGACTGACTGAGTTTGGTTTTACGCCGCTTTTAGCAATATTCCAGCAACATCACGGCGGGGGACACCACAAATGGACTTCACACAATGTAGCCATGTGGGGATTCGAACCCGGGTCTTCGGCGTGACGAGCCAACGCTTTATCCACTAGGCTACCCTGGGGCGGTGGGGTTAAAGCGTTCGTCCGTCACGCATGGGTAAACTGAATGAAGCCCATTTCTGAAGCCCCCTGCCGTGATATTGCTGGAATATTGCTTAAAGCAGCGTAAAAATCTGGACCAGACAATCCAGTGATCAACAGCATGAGCATCGATCTGCACAATTGGGAACCGATGACATGTGTAAACCAAGTCAGCGAGCCTGACCACCCGATCCCGTTAGTCGCCTCTCACGACAAGCATGGGTTACTGAAGATCAATATTCTAACCCGGACCTTCACGGGTCTCGTTAACATGAAATCCTGAACATATGAAAGCGACGTCTATGTTTGAATATATTCAAACAATCTGAAGTATATCCATTTTGATTAACTTCCAGCTTTTCATCTGTGATGGATCATGTATTGCACGAAAGGGATATGAGGGTCAACTAATCTTTGGACAGCACTTGGATGTTTTCAAGGCAATTTAGCGTAATTAGGGACGAAAGTCAGCACTGATCTAAGCTTAAGGTTATTTACATATAATGTGAAGGAATACAAAATCTGGATTAACATCGCACAATCACTAGATTCTGGAGGTAACCAAGGGGAGCAACCCCGCATAGCTTATTAAGACGCATTCGCGTCTTGGCCCCCTTGCCACCTTTGTTGTACGAAAATGCCTGGCTGACAGCACCTACGTAGCTGTTGGACAAGTAGAAGTTGCATTGTACATTGTAACAGGTTATATCTCATTTCACGAATATTTGTGGCAGGAATCTCAAGAAAAAATCGATTAGAAAAGTATCTTTAAGCCTCAAGACCCGATCCACAATCGTAGAGTTTCAACAGAAGTTAATCTGTGTTAAAGATATATGAGTTACGTTTATCTTAGCTACGGTCGCTACGACCAGCATATTTAAGACTTAGCTTGCTCGAGGGCAGGTGAACACATTTCTGATTCAACATACCTGTAGTATTGTGTGAGGCGTCTTACAATGTATACATATTTTGTTATATTTCACCACTTCAGGTGTCTCAATGAAACTTGTCCACATCCCCGGAGAAACAGCTGACCAGATAGGAGTATGGCTGCCGGACCAGAAGGTGTTCCTTTGCGCCGACGACGTCTACCGCGCCTTCCCCAACCTCTACGCCATTAGGGGAACGCCGTCTCGCAGTCTACTGGACTGGTCATCCTCACTGGACAAGATTATTGACCTTGAACCTCACTACCTCGTCCCGAGTCACACACGACCGCTAGAGGGCGCTGATGCCATCATGTCACTACTGACCAGTTACCGAGACGCCATTCAGTTTGTTCACGATCAGACAATCAGGTTCATGAACAAAGGTTTGATGCCAGACGAGATTGCGGCAAAAGTCCGTCTGCCGGAGCAATTAGCTACCCACCCATACTTGCTTGAATTTTACGGAACAGTGGAATGGTCCGTTAAGGGTGTGTTTAACACCTACCTTGGATGGTTCGACGGCGACCCGGTGCACCTTTCACCTCTGACCCCAGACGAATTGGCCAATCGGTATGTAGCTCTCGGCGGAGGAATTGACAACATGGTGAAGATGGCAAAGAAGGCTCTGGACGAAGGGGGATCACAGATGGGGTCTGACTGTCGCTTCCCACATCATCAGAGCAGACGATACGAACAAAGAAGCACGTGACATAGCATCTCAGTGCATGATGGAGATTGGCAATCAACAGATCAGTTCCAACGGCCGGAACTACTTCCACACATTTGCCCTTGAGGTCATTGGTGCAACGGACGCCCGGCCAGGACCTCTCACAATGGCTCGATTCATCCGCGGGATGCCGCTTGTTACGTTGTTTAAAGTCCTCGGGGTTCGTTTCGCGGCTGAGAAATGCGGGCGGGTCAATGTGACGGTTTTGTTCGAGTTCCAGAACCCTAAATCTACAGTGTCAATGCAGCTGAGAAACTCTGTCGTCATCATCAAGGACCGGCCTCCCAAGAAGTATGACGTCAGAGTTGTTATTGATGACGCCAAATGGCGAGACGTGTTGATCTCTCGTTTGGTAGAAAAATCAGCCCCGTCTCTCACCGAAGCAAAGGTTGAAGGAGAAGTGGAGGTACTCAAAGCCCTGTTCGACTGCTTTGAGGGAAACTCATGAATGACATTTATTCACAACGTTTGTGTTACCATGGATATAAAACTATATGCACGTATGATCTCCTTAAAAGTATTACTGGCAATTTTGCCAACGATGACGTTCGTCTGTCTTAAACAGTTTATCATAACCGTTTATAACGTTGTCTTTGTTCATTAACAACATAATAAGAACTTCAACTTGTATATCGGTTGTAGAATTATCAATTTACGATTTTTGGTCAGCACACAAGCATTATTGTCGATATTATATCTTATTTTTGACTATTTTCAAGTATATCAATAAAATGAGTGTAAATACGGAGGTCTTGCTTTGAAGGAAGCCTAGTGTATCCTGTAGACTGACATGTCAAAACAAACACTGATCACTAGCTTCTACCCAGTCAGTAAGTGAGAGAGTGAGTTTAGGTTTACGCCGCATTCGGCAATATTCCAGCTATATGGCGGCGACCAGTGATCGAGTCTGGACCAGTGATCAACAGCATGGGCATCGATCTACACAAATGGTAACCGATCACATGTGCCAACCAAGTCAGCGAGCCTGACAAACCGATCCCATTAGTCGCCTCTTACGACAAGCATGGGATACTGAAGACCCGGATCTTCACGGGTCCAGACAGTTAGTAATACGTGAACCCGGTGATTTCACTGCCGTGATGGAATTCCCACCATGAAACCTGCCTTGACTGTAACTTTTAATGACTAATCACTATTCACCACACCGCAGTGAGTGAGTGAGTTGAGTTTTACGCCGCTTTTAGCAATATTCCAGCAATATCACGGCGGGGGATATCAGAAATGGGCTTCACACCTCGTACCCATGTGGGGAATCGAACCCGTGTCTTGGGCGTGACGAGTGAACGCTTTATCCACAAGTCTACCCCACCGCCCCTCACCACACCGGAAACGACGACTCTCCTAATTGATACAGGAAAGCCCTGCCCGATTTGGAACATGAATGCTGTTAAAGCAGCATTAAGTGTGTGGGTGGGTGTTTTAATTTAACAGCCCACAGACGAGCGTTATTAGAGCACCACCAAATGGGCAAACCACACTGTCGTGCGTTAGTGGACCTCATGTCTTTAGCAGTTGGGATGTAACGTACGTCCAAACTGACCCCTGATAACATATGTCATATATAATATAATCTCCACGTGCCTTGATCGCATCCGTGGAGAACTCATCTCCTCATTGCACACTCCAGTATTTTCGGGAATGGAGCATAATTTGTAATATATAATATATCTTGAACCAATATTTTAATTGATTTCCTCTTGAAATAGCAGTTACTGTGTATACGTCACGAGAGTGTACTGTTAACATTCGAACAAAATATATGAATGGACGGGGTGATATGTATAGGATGTACTGGTCAAATAATGCTGTAATTAATAGAAAATGTTAATACCGGGTAAGAATAATAAGATTATAAATCAATGTCTATACTTTGGGAAGAACCTGTGTAAGTCTAGGTCTCTCGATCCCAAGTTTAGTCAGATAAACACCGCAACACAGCTGTTTCTGAAGTTTGAAAAACAAAAAACAAACAATATCGGCGATGTGAGCCAGTTCACTGGTTGTTCTGAGTGGCACATGCGCGGTCAGCGTCAGGAAGAGTATATGTTTTACCTGGGACTATTTCACGGTGACTTTGAGCCGAAGTAGTATTGACGGTGTGAACTCCGTGTAAACTGCTGCAGCTCCACCTACGGCAACACGACATAAACATTCACAAGGTATGCGCTTGTCACTGCTTGAGTTAATGTTGTTACAGCATATTTATAAACAATGGTATGGACGCGCTTAACAGTTTGACCCAGATGGCTGCCTTGCGAGAATCGGCCTTCTTATATCCCCTTGTTTATATGATCAAGGGTTTTAGATTCAAACGGAGGGTGGTGTTAGGAAGGTAAGGTGGTGTTGATATGTGGGGGTCGTAGTTGTCGTAGATGTGGTAGGTGTACAATGGAGACAGGTGCGAGTAAACACGCAGGGGTACAGTGACCTGTCTGTACATTGTTTGTACAGTGACAGCACACTTGTTGTTGTGTATATAGGTACAATGCAGATGACAGGTTCGTATGCAGGGTTGACGTTCTTTACAATGTCATGTATATGAATACATGCTGGTTAAAAGCAAATACGTTTCTTGTGTCCCCCGCTGGAATATTGCTAAAAGCGGCGTAAAAACCACACTCACACTCACACTCAGTCAGTCAGTCAGTCTGTGTTAACTGTCCAGAAAGACATTTATAACGCAGAAGTGGACGTGATCAAAACCGGAATAGCGTAACAAGCCATGTTTTGTTTGTTGTTAAATTCCTGACTTAACAATGTACCAGCTCTACAACGGTTGCATGTAAATAGTCTAACCTGGACCAGACAGACCAGGGATTTATATAAGGAACAAGCGTTCACACGAAAAGAAAGCTACACGTGTACCCTGTTAAGCATAGCGATGAAGCTATGAATTGCATTTCAGCAATTACGAGCATCCTTGCATATCAGTTTGTCAGACAGGGCAACATATGTTGTTTTTTTAAAAACAATTCTATTGATATAAGTTGCATTGTAAGGCTGGACGATATTAAACTGGAACCAATTTCTTTCCACAAACCTTTTTGTAAGTCTACAGTTACGTAAAACCAGTACTAAAAATACACTTGTGTTTCTGCAGGTAGTACGACAAGGCGAACACTGGTGTAGTTGTCGCCCTTGTCCTCGCGGCGGCGGCGTTCGGGAACTGGTTGCGGTCAGCATTGCGACCAGGAAGGAGCAGATTGAGAGACTGGTCAGAGGTGCCCGCGCTCCGGATCTCCTGAAGGAACACTCGAACGGCTCTCAACAAGAAAGAGATCGTGCAGGTAAAGGGAATGGGTCTTCGCTGGTTGCGAGCAAGGATGCAGAATGGTGGCCTTATAGTCAAATGAGTGAGTGAGTTTAGTATTACCCCGCTTTTAACAATTTTCTAGTACTTTCACGGCGAGAGTGACACCAGGAATGGGCTTCACACCGTACCACCGTGGGTAAGCGAACTCTAGTCTTGGTGATGAGCGGACGCGCTTTAACCATAGCCTTCCCTACTTGGTTGCGAGTAAGGATGCATATTGTTGGCCTTAAGGTCAAAGCGTTTGTAGGTTCAACCTGGATGGTAGACCCTATTGGTAGACTGACTGACCGAGTTTAGTTTTACGCCGTTTTTAGCAATATTCCAGCAATATCACGGCGGGGACACCAGAAATGGACTTCTACACATTGTACCCATGTGGGGAATCGAACCCTGGTCTTCGGCGTGACGAGCCAACGCGCTTTAACCGACTAGGCTACCCACCGCCCCCTATTGGTAGAGATGTATGAGGACCATTATGACTGTCCGCCCAGCGTGGTATGTGTGGAATATTGGCCACGGGAGTGAGATCCTCCTGCTAGTGATCAAAGGTTCATTATCAGCTGTTCGACCAAATGGGGTCGGCGATAAAATTAGAAAGGTCGGTCGGGGCGATGAGAAAGACAGAAAATAGAAATGCTGCCCTAATTCGATTTTATATGGTGGTCATCTCACTCTGAAGGGCGTTAGAGAAGTTTAGTGGTCGAAGCGTTCGCTGGTCGCGCTGAAGACCAGGGAATAATTTCGAAGCTTTCTTAGAGCAAAGATAGTCGTAAGTGCCATACATTAACATTAACTTGCTGACTATCTTAGCTCTAAGAGAGCTTTCGTAAATTCGGGGCCTGGACACACACAGACACAATAATATTGACATTACATCACAGACACAGACACACACATACATACATATCAATAATATCAATAATACACACACAATAACACACACACACGAGATTTGGTCCATTGTGGCGAAATTGGTAACAGACAGGATATTAGCAGTGCACAGGACCATGAACTTTGTTGTTATAAGCTGTAGGGGTTATGGGATGTAGGGGTTTTGGGAGCTTACCGAAACAAATGGGCGACCTTTTTCAATTATCTTCCCTTCACTAATCCGCAAGGTGCGCTGATGAGCACGGTCAACCTTGAACTGACAGCGCATGTCGTATTGCGCGATGCGAGCTGTTCGTGTTAGTATTACATTTGGCGACAGTTAACCAGTAGAATATTCACGGTCACGCTGGTGCATGGACAGTATATCTTTTCCCTTATCAAGAGTTATGTCCTGACGTATTTGTATTGTATGGGTCAGTGACGCATGATGGTGGCGTGTATCACCATCTGGTATCTGTATGGGTTAGTGACGCATGATGGTGGCGTGTATCACCATCTGGTACCTGTAAGGCTTAGTGACGCATGATGGTTGCGTGTATCGCCATCTGGTATCTGTAAGGGTTAGTGACGCATTATGGTGGCGTGTATCGCCATCTGGTATCTGTATTGGTTAGTGACGCATGATGGTGGCGTGTATCGCCATCTGGTATCTGTAAGGGTTAGTGACGCATGATGGTGGCGTGTGGTCCTGTGCATGGAGCTCAGGTCACAAATCAGATGAAGTTCAGCAACGTTGAGCGCGGGGAAACCTTGGATGGGTGACCGGGCTTTCAGCTTGCCTCCTGACAGTTTCTAGGACTTCGAATTCAGTCCTGCCCCACTACGAAGCACATGTAATACATGTGGTCTCACCTTAGACAAGTGTTCAAATTTGCCTCTGCTCACCCAGCAGAAAATGGGCACCCGGTGGGATGCGTCATGTGACTATTAACCTCCTTACGCCACACAGGGAGCTTGTGTTATCCGGGGTAATACTCCCTCCTAGACTTTGTGATGCGCCATTGAACAGCTTCGAGTTGGATACCAGGCATCATATAAATCTATTATTATTATGTTTTACAGTTTAAAGATAGAATGCAGCAAAGAGGGTTCGGGTGATCCTGGCACAGTCAGGCTGGTAAGGCTCTTCAGCTCAGGGCCCTTGCCCCCTCTACACGCAGACCAGACAGCGAATAGGACTTCTCCCAGGAAACACTGCCTAGTCGAACCCACTAAGAACTTTCAGAAGAATATGTAGACTTAACACTGCAGCTTCTGCATTACACAGAGTGTCAGAAGGTTGTGCTCCCGGTGGAGAACCTGGCACTCTCCTGATCTGCGCTAAGAGATCAAGAGTGTACCCAAACCAAGGCGCCGAGAACAATGGGGAGTCTGACGACAGTGTACTTGGGATGCAAACGAGACATTTCAAAGGCGAGGTCCGCATGTTTATCATGATTTTCCTGAATCTTGCCAATCACGTTACAAGCGTTGCTGTCAAAGGGACAGAAAATTCAATGATATAAATAAATTCATTAGCTTTATCAAAAAAGGACAAGATCAGGGTTTTGTTGGCTGGAATTTTCCCTGAGGCTGTATATGGATCCCTATTCCACAGAAGTTTAAAAGCATCATTTTCCATGACGCCCTGGACATGTTCAGGGTCGTACCATGGATGGACCTCAGAGTCAAAGCACAGGCATGGCGAAGACAATAGTAGAAACAACGAACCATGCCGTCATGCCGTTTAAGGTATGCTGTTTGTGCCAAGGAAGGGCATCTACCTGACAAGGTGTTGGACAGTCTCTGTAATTCATTGCACAGTCGGCATTTCATGTTAATAGTTTCCTTAAGAATCACATTTTGGCGATTACGAGTGGGGAGTGACTGCTCGAGCTGCTATTCTGTTCCACACACTGCATGTACACGATGCAATGGCTTCTCAGAAAGCTTCTCCACAAAGACCGACTCTAAGCAGACTGGGTGAAGGACTTCACCTGGTTTACTTCCATCGCTGTACCGTCCAGCAGTACATCGCCATCAGCAAAATCAACCTCAAATTTCAGATTCTGTCCAACAACCTTGGCACGCTTAATTAGCTGTGGAATTCCTTGCTTTCATCGTGAGTCTTGACATGCATCACCCGAGGATCATCCGATAAATACACAATAAAAGTATATAAAAGTACACAATAAAATGCTACCATGAAGAGCTTCCACATTAATCAAACCCTTCCGACCTCCAGAATTGATTGGCACATATAAACGTTAAGAGAGGAACGAGGGTGCAGGCCTCATATCACACATGATCCTTCTGGTCAGGCGATCAAGTCCTGGCGTTCGTTTTTCAACTACTCCAAAGGAATAGGAGAGCACTGGCACAGCGAGAGTATTAGTGGTTTTGACCTTGTTTCGAGCATTTAGCTCTGAGCTCCAGATTTCTTCAAGCGAGATTTATACCTGTGCCTCGGCCCGAAGTTTATCTTCGGAATTTGGGGCACCGGAGTTTGTCTCTGGATTTATTATTATGGATGATGATGTATAAAAATGATTGGTATGGATGGATTTTCAGGATTTATTAATTCTAAAATTCTACAATGACTGCGTTGGATTATAATAAATTAAGGATATATATATTAAATGGCATTTTTCACTCTTGAACAAAATGAAAATGGTAACTGTTTCAGTCGCAGCTGTGCTGTTTTAAGTATTCATTCAAGGGTACTATTAAAATTAAAAACATGGTATTCATACAATACTCGGGTTCATTAATGAAGGGTAAAACTATTTCTTAAACGTTTCTTGAAATATATACAACTGAATGTTTTACAAACTTTTCTTGACAGTATGGAAAACACACCAGGCCGTTGAAGTGTCACTTGTACGTTTTTGAATGTGCGATATATTCTGTTACAAATGGCACTTCTTTGTTTATTCAAATTGTCAATATGGAAATCCACCTGCCACTTAATGTCAACAATTTTTGGCACGTGCAAGTCGCTCTATCCATGGAAAGTGGAGGACAA